TTAAATAAAACATAGAAAAAGCTTGTTTTATTGTTTTTGGCACAAAGCAAATGAAGAAGCCTAAGCCGTGTATTACACTGTGACAAAACACTCCGAACGTTTGAGAACACTCGAGAAATGCAGAAAACACGAATCGTAGGCGAGTGTTTTCTACATTTCCCTCGTATTCTCAAATGCCCGTCGTAATTTATCACAGTGTAATACACGGCTAAGGCTTCTTTATTTGTTAAACAATGATAGGACAAAGTACAAGTTCATTATAAAAACAGCGACCGAGAAAATAAAACCGGCAGCAAATATACCAAGATATGTTTTCATTCTATCGCATGCCAATGCAAGTAACAAGGCGAATTACAGTGCGGCTTATGGGAAAGAGCTGGTTTCTTTTAAAGAAAACACTACGAATTAAACTGCTTAGGTCAAGGCTTTATTCAGAAGAAAGGGTTTGAATACGTATGTCGTAAATTGTCAGGTTATAAGAAGATTTATGTAATAGCTGAATATAACGTACAAAAAACAAATCACAGACAGCCTTTTCGGCCTTCAAATTAATTTGTCTTTTCTCAGCAATCCTAATGGAATCATTTTTTCAGTCATAAATGTAATAAAAAGCAAAACTTTATCAGTAATGTTTCTTCTCTTATATTGCCACTATATATTTCTGTTTAGCCCAAAACTTTACATTTCCTTTCTGTGGATAAACTTAGAACCTTGACTGACAAGTGTGAGAGATTGAAGAAGATGAAACCCGTCGGAGTAAAACACGAGCGTACAGGACCATCAATTTATGCATTTTACTACTTTCCAGACGCAGCGGCGGATTTTTCTGCTTCGCGCGTAGTACACCAAAGGATTTATGCTTGAGTTGAGGAAAGCGAGGGTTGCCAAAAACGGTTTCACAGCTTCTAGAAACGCAAGATCCTTGCTGGCGTACAAACAAAGCACGACAATGACCGCTGGGACATAACTCAGGAAAATAACGCCAACCATTAGCAGGGCTGTCTTGGTGCTTTGGAAATCTTGTTGAGTCGGATGGTCGTTGCTGACATTCATCTGTGCTCGTATTTGCCTTTGATGTCGCCTTGCGATCTTCGTCATCTTGGAATAGCAAAGAATTGTTATGATTACTAACAGCACGGGAGGAATGGCGGAGAACGCTCTGGCGGAGGTTTTCAGGATGGTGACTCCAGGAAGAAAAGGGAGCGCTTGGACTGTAGCAAAAGCCAGCGAAAGCACCCAGGAAGCGCTAATGGCTAGAACGACTCTTTCTTTAGTAACGATGTCTTGATATCGCAGAGAATACGCGATGCAAATGTACCTGTCCATGGTTATCAAGCAGATGTTCAAACAGGAAGAAAATAGCAAGCCGTAGACCGAGTAGCTTGCGAAGAATTTGAGAGAGTTGTTTGTTGATAGTAAACAATCTCCAAGTAACAAGCCGATGTGTCTGGCGGTTAAAAACGGTTGTACCATAAGCCCGATAAGCAGGTCGGAAAGTGCTTGCGATACAAGGAGAAGGTTGCGTGGTATCTCACGGAGCTCGGGGAATTTGATAACGGCCACGAGAAGTAAAACGCTTCCTCCAACAGATGTTACGGGCAAGAAACCATCAACAATGCAATTAAGGACTGCCAGAGGAAAAAAGAACCGCCTCAAATGCGGTGTCGTGTAGAATTCGTTTATGATGTCACATTGAGGGGTTAAATCAGTTTTGTTCATAATGAATAATTTGGAGAAACACTTCGGGCCTTCTTTGGATAAATCTGGACGAAATTATTGCCATGTAGGCTTTTTGTTGTTGAATATATTAACACGGTTTCCGCTCCAACCACTTCACAAGATCTTGATTTGAAATGGTTTGGACATAAGATAATAAGCCGAGTTGGACTGATTGGTCGATAACTCACCAATGAAGTCAACATTTGGAAATAACTCGATTAAAATTGAATAATGGTGAACTCAAAATTGACTGACGAACAAAAATGATCAAAAAGGCTAATTGGTCGGTTTTCTAGCATGTGTGAATCAATTGCCACTTCACACGGCAGGTGAAGATTTATCGGAAGCCGTGAACTGTAAAACTAATGAGGAACACAGTTTAGCGCAAATGCCAAACAAGTCAAACAACACGTGCAACACAATACACAAAAGCGATATTAAATCTTCTTACGTTAAGGCTTGATCAAAGAAGGCTTTTCGCATTGTATTTCGTAAATTTTCAAGCTTTAAGACTGAAAACAGTGTCATCGTGCCGAATGTCCTAAAATGCTATTCCCTTATTTGAAACTGATGTCGTTTACATGTTTCGGGAAGCATTTTCGTTACGTAAAGGGTTACTAACAAACTCATCTATAATGAACAGCAGAAAATTGAGCACAAAAACTATTTAGCAGTTAATGTTTCCGCTCATTCTTGTATCTTGGCTGTGCTGCTATATAAAAGATGAAATAAAAGGAGATTAATTTGTCAACACTTGGGAAAATCGCGCTTGGCCACAGGTGGTCTTGCGTTGACTTTGCCATGAGTTGCTCATGTCAGAAACTAATTTAAGAAAAAGCTTGGGCCATCGATTTGCGGAGATATGATCAGACATTTATTCTGAAAATCGGCCTTCGTCACTGGATATTGTTTAAATGTCTGTTAATCTAAAATATTGGAAAAAAATCCCTAAAATGCTACTTTCTCTCGCACACAATCAGATCAATGTGCATCAAAGGAACAAGTGAATCCACTGTAGGTTTCATCGGTTTCTTTGATGCGCCTTTATCCGAGTTACCTTGGATCGTTGATGCTGATCCAGATCATCGCAAATGAACACATACTTATTATCAGCATTGTGCTGTCAAGCAGACTGACTGACTGACTGACTGACGGACTGACTGATTGCCTGACTAACTGATATTTGATCTTGTAATCACATTCTCAAAATCTCGCACGCAGTTTCTGTCGATAAATTTATGGCAAAAAAGCCACATTTAATCAATATTATTGCTTCTTGTGGATTGCATGTCATGTGTTCAGGTACGAGTTTCACTTGCACTAATTCCTAGGCTATGCTTTCAATCCCCAGATAAGCATATAAGATTGAGTATTTCTCATCTAAGTGATGAAAAGAAATCCGTGGCTTTGCATTGTTGAGCTTAGTTCTGCGGCTGACCTGTAAATGTAGACCGCCTTTCTCCCAACCTCGTTCCCAGGCTTTCTTCTGCCTCCACTTGTCAAACGACAAATGTAGACAGAGGAGAGAAGGAGGCTGTCTTTTTCCCTGTACTGGGAGGCGCCGGAACACTCTTGCAAAAATAATGAGAGTTTTGGAATTGCAAGAAGACCCTAAACGGTGTTTAAAGTTGGTTTTGTTGTGGTTACCCGATTTCATTTTTACCTCCAAAAGGGGTATTAAATTGGCTTTTAAGTTTCGAGTAATTCCAGGACGTTCGTGTTAATTGTTTGTGCGCTTTCTTACTGCGCGCGAAAATTCACACGCCACGTCATGCATCGATCGCACGCCAAGTAATAAAATGAACAATAACAGGACAGATTTCCATTGTTATAGCTATGCCTGGATTTAACGATCTTGGACGGCCTTTCTTTTGATGGATCATTTTCTCTACCGATTTTCTACCGTAACCGAAAAAATGAAGAAAACGTATCGATTAAAAGTTTGAATTTTTTGCAAAATACACCATCGACTTCCTTTCCGTGTTTTAGCTCTCCGTTTATGTGTGAGGCGGTTTGAAATGCCTCTTGAAGGGTTAAGTTTTTTGAAAACGTTGGCAATATTTGGAATAATTTACGCAACAGACCCACTTCTACAAAATATGAGTAAGATCGTTTGCCTCCGTTGAGTCACCTTCGATATTTTTAAGAGTGTGTCCATGAGAAAACCAGACAGGAGGTGATACATCTAAAATCACCGATTTCGCTCAAACTTGGTACACATGTTGGGTTTGGTGAGTAAATGACTACGGCAAAAACTTAGCTCAAAATATTTTATTCTCTTCAAGTTAGGGGGACCCCCTCCAAAAATGGCCGTTTGTCACTAATTTATGCATATTTAATTAGCTGTCTTTCATTTAGTATTTCTACAACACGAAAGGCCATGTGAGAATGAAATCCACTGGATGGTGTTCTATTGTTATCGGTCTCAAAGCACAGATATTCATTTGAGCGAGGCAATTTGATTTCTCTCCGTGGCTCCATCTTAAGTAAGGTACATATTTCGTAGAGTTGTGGATATAGCCTTTAATTGATGGCAAATATCTGCACTAGGCAACAGTAAATACACATTATTCCAGCATGAATTGTGAGAGCAATCACTAAAGTTCTCAAAAAAGCCATAAGATGTTTGGGGATTTCAATACAATTTCTGTTCTGGCATACTGTATACATAGGACTTTACGAGTTTTTGCCATTTCATAACCATCCACTTAAACACAAAAGCCATTTTTTCTGTCTTAAATCGAAATCAACAAGAAATATCTACCCAATTATTTTCCTATCAATTTCCAGCATAAATTCGGCGAAAAGAAGCACTTGAGACATTTCTTTCAAATATTTTCAGAACTACATTTTGTGGCATCCTCACGGATATCGATAAACCGATTCGCCGGTACCCATTTATACACTTGGGTGGAGAGAGGCACTATGAGAGTAAAGTGTCTTGCCCAACAACAAAACACAAATGTCCCCGGCTAGGGCTCGAACATAGACCGGTCGATCCGGAGACGAACGCACTAACCATGAGGCCACAGCGCCTCCAGGTGAGATGAACATATAACCCTACGCCATACATATAAGCTTCACGCCCCGTCTACTCTATACGCCGGAGAACTTTGAAAACGGCGTTTTCACTCTGAAAACGTAGCAATAATTTGCCGTCCACTGTACTACACCGGAGAATTTAAAAACGCAACAATCACCGGTCTCTTTGGATTTGTGTTTGAGGAAAACCTGGGCGGGGAAATCCCATCAGTGATTCTCGTGTCTTCATCGTTTTCGAACAGCTCTGTTTTCGAAATGTTTTCCTTCCACACTAAAACGCAAAGCCGCC